TTATACACTGACATTCCAGAACACAGAGGACTGATGGTCAGCAACTTCTTAACATGGAAAGTAACCTCCACAGTAAGCAAATTTTTAGTTATCAAGAAAAAGAAAGAATTCCTCTATTCTATGAAAACTGGCATATCTAAATAAATTTCTTAAATTTTTCAAAAAAAAGTTTGACAAGACTTAAAGAAAGATGTATTTTAAACTCTAGAGTATATACATAATCAATATTCATGTTAGGAAATTGAAATAAAGATTCACAGCGTATCCCAGATTTTCTAAAACTGTTTCTAATCAAAGACAGGTGCATTAAAAATCTGTTCTACGTGACAATAACTTAAAAGCTAAACTATGAAAATAGAGAGTAGATGTGATTTTGTTGAAACCTGTTATATACTGGGAATTTGATAAATTGTATTTTTTATTTGATCCTTATAAAACTCTGTGAGGAGTGTGTTACAAGAGACTAACAGGACAGAGAGGTTCCAGGAAGGTGACAAATGGTATAAAACTTCACATCTAAAAGATACAGTTGAAGTTTGAACTCAAGAATATTTGCCATCTAAGGATTTGCCATGTACCATGACAACACATTGACTCCCAAAATGAGGAGTGTAAAAAGTGCCTTGAGCTCTTTATAGATATTATATAAAACATAGAACAACATTGATAATACACCTGAATGCAGAAATTATAAAAAAGTTCTTAATTTTTAGGACTCCATTGGTCATCTTATTGGTCCTTACAGTAATAATTAAAAGTCCTTTGCTTTGTTTTATGTATGTTTTCAAACTGCTATTTTAAAACATCCTTACTCAGCAGCCTTTTTGTCTTTTGTCATTTAACTGCTAATGACTACAAACGTAGGCAGCCAAGAAAAACGCAGATGTTCCTATGGAACACAAACCACAGCAACATATGGTATACATTTTTCTAAGAAAGTGTGCTTCTTAACCTCTTGGTGTCGCTCTACCATTTCTTTATAAGGCTACTCATTTCCCAGGAATGTTCAGTTTTCAAACAATAAGGCTACAGGCTTCACATGTGTTGTATGACCTTTCAGATGCACAGACTAGACTGTATCTAAGCGCCTTTAAGCAAGTGCATTTAGCACTCACTTCCTGGCACTATTATATATATTGATGAACTGTCTTCCTCTAGATGGTAAGCCCCTTGAGGGCAAGTGTCATGCCCAATATCTCACTTTACTAGCTTTGCCTGGCAGAGTAACCTGTCGTGCATATAGTAATATGTTACCTATAAATTGCTCTTGTAGGTAAGTCTCTTAGCTACATAGTAACATTTACTACATCCTTCTGATGAGACTCACTGAGCCTAAGTAATTAGCTAGAATCATTAAATCATAGACAATGTTTTCCTCTTGCCCACAGAAATATTCACTCCTTGCCATGTACTACTTTATTCTCTTAAAGGTTTTTATTACAAACAACAATGCTTATTGGACTTTAAAAATTAATATCTAGTCTTAGTATTCATGTGCAAGACTGTTCTAAGGGATTTACAAATATTATCTCATTTAATCTTCCTCAAGATTCCTTGAGACAGATATATTTATCCCCATTTACAGATAAGGAAACTAAAGCACAGAAAGATTAACTCATCCAAAATCACAGGGCTGGCTGGTCAGTAGCAGCAGCGGTTTGAATCCAGGAAGTATGTTTCCAGAAGGTATGCTATTAACCACATTTTCCTTGAATTAGATTCTACAAAGATCCTTGCTCAGGATATGTGAGTGGTTTGTTCAATAAGAAAAAAGAAAGGTACTTACTCCTCCATATGTGATTTATTTGATTACATTCTAAAACCTTAGATAGAACTCCATGAAAGTACTATACTAAATTTTCCACTAGTGAAGGCATGTGTGATGGTTACCTTGACTGATGCATAAAATACCCAAAACAAAATACTCCAAACTTGAGGATTTTTGTTTTGCTTCATGAATTAGAGACATGAAAGGATTGCTTAAGTATCAGAAGTATTACATATTCACATCTGTAAGACTTTCTTGGAGATTTTCATATTACTTATACAGGAATGTTTCTCAGTTTAAAATGTTTCAGCGTTCATTCTGTACCTGAGCTTGAAAATTATCTAATCTTTTTTAGTATTTTCATTTTAGACTACTTTTTAGGCATAGAGCAACCACTTACTTTTAATATAATGCTTAACACTTTTAATGTTTTTGTTTCAGTTGCCTTGAAAACATGCCAGTAGACATCCAAACATCTTGTAAAGATTTAAAATTTGGGGTGTGTATACATATATCAACAAGAGTTATGAATTGTATGTATCCCAAGCCTATATAAAATATATTTGAAGAATAGCATCACAGTAGTTAGCCAGGTGATAATAAGATATAGCATGTAAAATGTAAACACTACCCTGAATAAATTATCCCTAAATTAACACTCTCATTAAAATGACATGTTTACTATTTCTGGGTTTATCATGTTGCTTTAATGCATTTTCACTAACTACTCTAATGACACATTAAGAGACCATTTCAGAAACATCTCCCCGCCTCTGTGGAATTTGCAGATTTTTATTTACATTTGAGTTAAAATAATATGTTAAAAACAATCATCCGCCTCCATGTTTTCTGCCCAGAAACATTTAATTAAACCAGGATATTACTTTAGTAATTATTTTTGCATAGATTGACTCTAAAATTAATAGTCAGTTGTAAGACTTTAAAAATTGGAAGATTGACAATCAAAACAATGTTAAATGCTTTGTTTATGTGATGAAAAGGAGTGATCCTTTAATTCCTTGACACACATTAAACTGATTTCACAGACTTTCTGTACTGGTGTTTAACATAGTCAAGTGCTTGAGGTTATGTAAAATAAATAATCTTGAGATCTTATTGCAAATGTTTGCAATTTATGATGTAAACTGATTTGGGAAGAAAGAACAAGATCCCATGTTGTTGAAGCCAAAAAGGCATTTTTTAGAAATCAAAATAGTTCCGAATTTGAGTACTGCATTATACTAAAGTATTACCATCTGAGGATCTAAAAAGTTATAAATCTGGAGGGAGACTCAAAATAGATGTATGTGGGTTCAGTTCCAAGCAAAGGCCTCCCATCTTACTGAGACTCTTGAATAATAAAGTCCTTAACACTAATCATGTCTTGAATAATCTCTTTTAACTCAGTTTTCCCCAAGCACGGATTTTATAACTCCGGACTTTTACTAATTACTGAGTTTTGACCAGAACATTATGCATGTTCGGCCTTACTTAAAGTGAACACTTCCCCAGACTTCTCAGGATGGCTCAGGGAACTAGGGGTTTGGACCGGGAGGCTGGGCCGTGGTGATCAAGTGTGGGCGCCCGGACCCTGAGGACCCAGGCCTAGGGGTAGAGGAAGCGGTCTCCGCCCTCCTGGGTCGGGAAAGAAAGCCGAAAGCGGACCGGGAACTTTGGGCTTCTCTGTAGTCTGGGTTCTGCAGACCGCGCCTGTTCCACCAGCCGCGCTGGCCCAGACCCAGGCCTTTGGCCCGGGCCGAGCTGTCCCGCAGCCCTTGGCCCACCGCACTCCCGCCCAGCTGCCCCTCCGGGTCTGTGCCCGGGTCCCGCGGCCGACCTGCAGGCTCTCGGAGGCGGGGACTGCGGTGGCCTCGCCAGCTGGACCTGGGCGCGCCGCCCCTGTGACCTCGGGCTTCCCCGGGGCTCAGCTGCGGGGCCCTGGGTGGCCCGGGACGGAAACGCCACCTCCCCCCCGCGTTCTCCTCCGGTGACCTCTGGCCTCCCTCGGGGGTCCCCGGAAACCGCAGAGCCCGCTCGAGGGGGCTGGGTAGTGCTGGGCCCGGAGTCTGAGGGTTCGCGCCCAGCAGGGTCGCAGGCGGGATCGCAGCCGAGGCCACCGCGCCCGGGCGCAGCACTCAGGAAGGTGTTTGTTATAACCCACCGCGTTCTGCAACCGGGACCCCGCAAGGCCTGAGCGCCGAACCCGGTAACCCGGCAAATCCTGCTGTTACAAGTCTCGGGACAGAACCGCCCGCGTCTAGCCCGAGGGGCAGGCAGCTGCGAACTCGGCCTCAGAGGGGGGAGCAGACTGGGTGCCACGGCAAGGAGCCTGCTAGAGGGGTCCCCGCTCCCTCGGTCTGGAGAGGGGCTGGCCTGAGACACGCTCGCTCGGGACACCCCCAGTCTTCACCGTGGCTCCCCGCGCCCCGAGAGCCCGGCGCAGCTCACCGCGGGTCAGGCCGGCCAGGGGGTGTCTTTGCGTCCTTCACCCTTCCCCACCCCGCACCTTCAAGTCGTAATAGCACCCCCCGCCCCCCGGGCCTAAGAAACGCGGAAACCCAGCTTCTCCGCGATCTAAGCACGGTTTAAAACCAGGCTTTTCCTTAACACTGTCCTGCCTCCTTTTTCCCTCTCCTAAACAGAAGGCAGCTGCTTCCGCCAGAGCGCCAGGCAGAGAGGTGGGGGATTCGTCTCCACTATGCCCCCGACCCCTCCGCGTCTCCTCCCAGCTTCCCAAACAGCAGTGCCTGGCTCGGGGAGGCTCAGCGACCTGGGACCCGCTGACGGTGGTGCCACTCGTACCAAACCCAGGTGCATTTCTTGTGGTCCCACTTTCCTTCCTCCTAAAATGTCCCCAAGTAAACTTCAAACATAAAAGTATAGCAAAATGAAGAATGAGAAACTGTCTTGAAGAAAGGGACTTCGTTATTTTACTTTTTATCTGTTCCCTTGTTAACTTGATATAACCCAGTTTCTAACCAGGTGCATAACGCGGTGAGATGAGAAAAGATGCGCTCAGCGCTAGAGCGCCCCAGAGCCTCGCTTCTCACTGTCCCTTGATGGTGGCAGGTTGGAGTCCAGGCTCGCACTTTCCTAAGTCTGTGTGTCTGTGTGTGTGTGTGTCTGTATGTGTGTGCGCGCGCGCGCACGTCTGTTTGTGTGCAGAGAGGTAAAAAAAAGTGAAAGAGAAGAAATAGAGAGTGTGTGTTTGATTCACCAAAAAGAAAGGAGACACTATCCTGGATATTTTAATAGTAACTGGAACAAAGATGACGCGAACCCCATGAAATGAAACAATACTATTTTCATTCAATTGATCGCAAAGTGTCTTCGATTAATAACTTGGCACTTATTTAAAAAGATTTAACAGAAGTGGAGCCGTAAAATTTTGTACTGACAACACGTCATGAGATAACAGCATCTTCTTTTGTTTAAAATAACTTAATACACTAGAAAAAATATGGCAAATATAAATAATTTTGTTTTCATGGAGAACAAATAGTTACAAAGCTCAACTGCACACCAAAGTTCAGTTAGAAGAGCTTTTCCTCTTTCTTGTAAATTAGGAAAAAAAAAAAAAAACCTAAGGAGGCTTGCTACAGAATTGGGATACAGATTGATTAGTCCAGGGCATCCCGAGTTAAATAGCTACACGAATTGAAACAGTAATAACAGAAAAGATTACATGAATAGATACACCTTTGTGGAATAAAATGCAAGTGTTGAAAGTCAACCCTCAGTTCACAAGTTATAGCCAAAATAAACTTTGTTCGTGTGTATCAACATATTTTACACAAATCTAGTGCCTGTATCTAGCTGGGTGTTATTTGAGGGGACAGAGAGGGAGGCAATAAAGCACTGTCCTCAAACAGGACTTCAGGAAACCAGCCAAAGGGAATACAAGAAAAGGAGAGTGAACTAACAATGACTGAGCACCTACTATGTGTATGTACTATACAAGGTTGTGTACCTTCATTATTTCATTTGATCTTCCTCTTTTCTTTCTCCTTTCCCCACATTTTCTGCCCATCTCTATCTTCTTGGGACAATCAGTATAAATTTTCCCCCTTCGGACTTTTTTCTTTTGACTCCCCAGGATCAAAGACAGGGCAAAAATTATATATCTATATCTATATCTATATGGATGTATATCAATTTCCGGATGCTTTTCCTACTGAGATGAAAATGGAGTTGAGTGCACGTGAGTAAGGGAAGGAGGGACACCATCAATGGAATACAAGTAACATGCAAACCAGAATTCACTGTCAGCAGTCCGGACAGTTCTGCCATAATGTTTTCTCAGAGGAATCACTGTCTGTGGCATCGTTTGTTTTGCTTTTTGCATTAACATCGTTTTCGTTTCCCCCTTTGTCTTCACACTGTCTTCTCTCTTCTTGCTGTTCCATACATGGTGGGTTTAAACTCAAAGCATCTGATTCAACGTAAAAGGAGGCCCGCCTCTCTTATCAAATTTCTCGTATTAAAGTGAACTTCGCAGAAAAAGGTCAGTTTCAAAACCTGTGAACTTCCCAGCTGCGCACTTTTTTCATCTTAATTCTTTAAATAAGTAAACCTCTGCTTTCTGTTTTGCCGTCTTAGCTCATTTTAAAAAACCATACCTTTAACTTGGTAACACCCCCCCATTCTCTCGAGATTTGTCCGGGTAATTTTCCATATTTTTAAATGTATAAAATACTTTAATTTTTAAAACTGTTTTTCTCCGTCGTTCTCTCTCCGGTTGCAGCTTCAGCCAAATATTATCAACAAGAAATAAGATCCCGTTCTCTTTATTTTTTTTTTTCCTCTCTGATTTGTCTTTTCCACTTTTTCTCTCTTTTTAAATCAGCAAGGTTTTTCCCTATGCAAGAGTCCACCGCTGCAGCTTTGCCACGAGCCTGGCTCGGCCGTCCCGCACTCCCTGGTCCATGCAGTCTCTCCAGACTTCCCCAAACCTGCTTCTAGAGAGCCGGATTCTAGGCCTACGGGTCAAAAGGGCTGGAGCCACGGGGCTGGCATACACCTAGTGGGATCCCGGGTCCCGCGCAGCGTCCTGCCCTCCGAGTCCGGGATGCAGAGGGCGACAAGGGGCGCCGCTGGGCGGAAAGAGGGTCGACTTCAGAGCTCTGAGGGGGTGACCGAGAAGCAGCAGGACGCGGAGGGCGTGCAGGGTGGGCTCCGCTCCGAGGCGCGAAGGTAGCGCTTGCACTGGCGTCACAGACCCAAGGCGGCCGCATGCTTTTTGGCTTTCAGTCTGAGATCGGCGATGCTGGAGTTCTTGCTGGTGGTTTTGGCAGCGGCGGCCGCAGCTACTACAGAAGCAGCGGAGGCCGAGTCCGCGGCCAGGGTAGCAAGCGGCAGTCCGAAGGGCGGCGCCGGGAACATCATGTAGGGCGCGTGCGCGGCCAGGTGCGGATGCAGGTGGTGGTGCGCGTGCGCCACGGCGCTGTCCAGCTGCAGCTGCGCCTGAACCTGAAAGGACAAGGGCGTCACGTTGCAATGACTATCCTAGGGTGACAACAGAATAGAAACAGAGCATTAACGGCGTCCAGCTTGGCCAGGTGAAGGTTGGGGTAGGGGAACAAGCAGGGGGGTTGGCTGAGCAACGGTTCCGGAGGGAGAATGTCTCAGCCTGTTGCTGAACGTGGGGAGCCACATGGTTAAGTCCTTCGGCTTGGGCTAATTTCCTTGGGCCTGGACACCTGTCTGCACGAGTGTGCTGCCCCCTCGAGAGTTGGGCGGGTTAATGGGCGACTGAACTGCTAAAACACTGCCCACCTCGAAATCGCGATTCTACATTAAAAAGGCTTGGAATGAGAGCTCTAAATTTCTCTTCGCTCTTCTGCCATACATCTCTTGCGAAACTGCTAAAGCACTGAAGTACTATCAGGAAGAACTTCTCTATCTTAGTGTGGTAAAACTGTTATCTTCCCAATTGGCATAACTGAGTCAGCAGCACTCCTAACTTTTACGGTCATAAGAAGTACCTGGAGATCTTTTAAAAATTCAGATTCTGCATTAGAAGGTCCTGAGGTTCTGAATTTCTAACAGTCTTCCAAGTGGCATGGTTCTGATGGCCTGAAGACCTCCACCTCCTGAGTAGTACCAGTTTCCTTTTAAGTTCTTCCTTTCCTCTTTTTCCAAAAATCCTCTCTTATTTCAAAACTCCCAAATCAGGATGCCAAAATCCTATGGTGGCAAGAGGGCTAACATCTCCCTAGCACTTACTCTCATTACAAAGGCATACCCAGGTGTCTTCCCAGTTCAAGGTGCTGGTGACAGAACTAATCAGGAAATCACAGTTGTGCCAAGCAGGGGTCCTAGCTAAGGATGGGGAAGGTCAGGCACTGGTTGGGAAAGGACTTTGCCCTCAAGGTTGGAGATTGGGGAGTTCAGAGCACTGGGATTTCCCAGGATTAAATCACTGCTTTCAGGCTGTCCTTTTAAAAATGTACTTTTAAAGGTTTCTTTATGGCTAAGATAAGGATTATAGAGGAAGGACAGCCCTGGGAAGACCAAGGCTTCCCTCTTCATCATATATGAAGCTTTGTTTGCAGAGATAAATTTTTTAAAAACAAGTCTGAGTTGGAGCACTTGTTTTTGTTTATTTTTTGCTGCCAGAGACATTTAATGTGACTAAGAGATAGAAAATACCTAGAAAAATAGAGGGCTGCCTTAGAAATATGACTATTTTCTATATTGGATTTGACAAAATCTTAATCAAAAGGCATTTCCCTCTTCTCCCCAAGTGCAATCTTTAGAGCATTTTAAAAAGACCATTTACTGTCCACAGGACCCTATGGGATTTCCATGAAAAACAGAAAGGACTAAACATTCAGAACCATGACACTATATAGGTTTTTAAGAGGAAAAGGTCCACTATATCACCTTGAAATCAATTCTTCCACTGTGTGGACACTGGGCTCACAAGGGATATTCAGTACTCCAAACAAACATCCAGGTTTTTTTACATTTAAAAACAGCTTAAAATGAGACTATACTTACCTGCTGAAATGGCATCCTTAAAGCACCTACATTGACATAGGGTGCAACTCTACAAGCTTCAAATTGGCTAGCAGCCCCTATAAGAACACCTGTAAAGAACAGCACAAAACACAATACTATTAGATTAACATTTCTGGTATTGTTTTCCAGGGTTTCAAATGATGCCAAGATAGATTCCTTTGGAATTTGACTGTTACTTTTCTAAACAGCTGTCATAATTAAAATAAATATAATTGACTCCCAAACTTTAGGACTTTAATTAACTGTCTTTAGAGAAGTTTTTGATATCAAGGGCAATAATTACTTTTGAGATATTTTCTATCTTTTATTAGCAGTATTTTACACTTTTCACTTATAGTAGCAAATGTTTCTTGTATGAGAAGCATACCTTTATGGAGTTGATTTTCTTGTTTTCTACATTTAGCTCTTCGATTTTGAAACCAAACCTACAAGTTGAAGAAGAGAAAAAAATCTAGACATTATAACTTAAAAAAAGTTTTAAACTATAAGAAGTCAATAAAGAGTAATGTTTTAGGCAATGCTCGAGTGATATAATAAGCAGTCTTTAATTTATATAAAATAGCCTTAGTTTCCAAGCTAAAAATGTAAATGAACTACAAAAATAGAAAGATTTCATAAACTTTCATAAAATTAAATTTGTTCCTTGATAAATTACTACTAGTATTGGTTTCATCTTTCCATGGAACAGAGTTCCTAAGACCTGATACCAATGTCATACCTGACACCAATGTCATAATGGGTATAAATGTTTGCCCAGTTAAGACGTGACAACAATGGACTTAGCAATAGCCTATAATATTAAGTTAGTCCATAACATTAATTAGCCTATAATATTAATTAGTTTGAGGAAAAACCAAACACTAAAGAAAATAGTGATTCTTTGGGGGAGAGGCGTTTAGGGGAAGAGAGGTAATTAATGTCATAAAAGCCTCACTACAAAGAAGTTTAGAATTTCTCTGTTTCGCTGTGCAGCAGAGTGTAACACAGTAGCAGAATAATTATGCTATTATCATGATAATCTAATTTGTTCATATAGAAAAAGCCTCTGTTTTCAGTTAGGACAGAGGAAAGCTTTTAAAAATAGCTTTAAAACCTAAGTAAAAGTATTTTTTGAAAGACCAAAATACAGTTAACTTCTTGAAAGGAAGAAACAATCTCTGAAAGGAGATTGGAGTAGGAATCAAGTAACTGCTGGGTATTTGATTTCTATCCTCTTAAATAATTTGCAAACTTCTAGATGCAGTATGACAGATTTTTTAAAATTCAAATAAAGCTTGCTTTCATACTCTAGCTCCAATAGTACAGCATATTGATCGATTTACAAATTAAGGTTTTAAAAGCCTATGAAAGGAAAATATTGCTTTACAGCTTTCTCTGGTATATTTTTAAAAGCAAATGCCACAGTCAATGTAAATCTTCAAAAATTCCCCTGCTACTTAGTGTAATAGAAGGGTGAATTTCATGCCAGGGTGGCATCCTTTGTATAACTCACATGGCCCGAGGCTTCTTGACTCTTTTTTTCTCCTAGATGAGTTGGGATTGAGATACTATTACTCATAACTGTAATAATTATAAGGGTTTCAAGGGGCTACTATGCCTCTAGAGATTTCAGAGCATAGAGCAAAGCAGGAGAAGCTTTAAAGGGAAGGTTCTGCTGTTGACGCTGTGATGACCAAGGCAGCCTATTATTGCTTTTCTCCTTCAACATTACTGCTGGTTTTTCCCCCCTGATCCTATTACAAGATGCGGAGAAGCCCCATAAGAATTGTGCATAGTTCGATACAGATGGTGGTCTCTGTGCCCAGAGACCCAGGGAGTATCTGTTACAGCGATACTTTGTAACAGCTGCAGATGTTCTAGCCTAAAACTGCTCCATGTGTTCAAACAAATAATGACCATCATTTTCTCCTATTTTATTATTTGAGCGGAAATACAATCTGAAACCTTTAAATTTGTTCCCCATAAAGCGGGAAGAATGTGTATATATGTATGTATATAATTTTCCTCCTTAATTGCCCCCAAAGCCTACTTTTGCTATTACATTCACCTCAACAACCAATAAAGAAAATCTGCTGTAATCTTAACTTCATGGTGCATGACATTTGCTGGGGGTCAGGTTTTGAAAATACCACTATTAAGATATGTGGGTTGTTTTAAAATTGAGTTCCGGGATTGCTGGTTGCCTTGGATAAGCGAACAAAGAGTGACCAAAACGCGTTCATTTTTCTGTTTTACTCACAGTTTGAGATCCAGCGCCAACCCTGGACTGTAAATTTCTGCACTTAACAATTGCTAATTTTCTTTATAGTCTGTACATCTATAAACCTAATTGGCATATCCGGTTGGCAAACCCCCTGAGCAGACCCTCAATGAAACCCAATTCAGGCGAGCAAAATACTTGTAACTTTTAAGGCATCTAGAGATAAAACGTTTTCTGTGGGATTTTTTTTAAGGCTTATAAAAGTAGGCCCATTAGGATTAAACCACATTAAAGCCAGCTCAAGGCGAGGGGGGTGCAGTTTATACAAACTCTGGGAGCAAGCCCAGCACAGCTTTCTTCTGCAGAGAACATATGTTGGGATTGGGGAGGGAGTATAGGGTTTAGATCCGATTTACAAAATAAGACCTATACCTTGCCCCTTCTCATTCTGCACTAGGGCCTCGAACCAAGCTGCCCCTCCGACTCTGGGTGTACCTAGGTCTTTGCTCCCTGGGCCCACCCTTGATGCCCTCATAGTCTGGTACCTGCACTCGTGCCTCCGACAGCCCCAGTCTCTGGCTCAGCTCCTCACGCATGAAGGCATCCGGATAGTGAGTCTCATCAAAAAGCCTCTCCAGCTCATTGAGTTGTTCCAGGGTGAAATTGGTCCGACTACGCCTTTGCTTGATTTTGGTCTGGCCTTCGTCCTCCATCCCTTTGGCATCCTCTTTGCGATCCTTCAACTCGGGGGATACTAGAGGGGGGTACCACGAACCAGACCACGCGTGCGTCCATGTACACACACATCAACACACACCAACATTCAGCAACACACACACACACACAGACAAAAACAGCACAGCAAATCTAGTTACCAGATTTGTCTTAAGAAAGGTAGAAGTTCCTATCCTCTCACGGAATCTGATCCAGCCCTTCACCGTATGAGGATGATGAGGATTTTGGAGACGTGCAAAGGTCACGCCTGTGTGGCCGCCAGTGGACCAAGGCAGACACACAGCACCCACCTCCCTAGCGCGGTGGCCTGGGCTTGTCGCTGCGACATCCACCCCAAGGTTTCCTGCCCTTCCTTGCCAACACCAAGTGCTTTCTTCCCATCCTCTCTGGCACTCACTCTCTCCACGCACTTACTGAAATCAGAAGCGCCACGCCGGGCCTCCCCTAGAGCTCGGGCTTGGTAGAAGGGCGCGGCGAGGCCACGCATCGGCTTTTCAGGCCAGCGCTGGCCCCCTGTTAGGCCACCCCTCGCTGCCTCCGGCCCTTTGACTCCCACAAACTTGCTGATCTAATTTAAGAGCAACTGGAGAAGGGTCGCAGCCGGGAACAAGACACCGGTACTGCGCTGCTCTTGTAGCCGCATCTCCTTTGATGGCGGCGTGGTCCTAGAGTTCGGGTCAGACCCTATGGATGGTTTCCCGCGCAGCCAGACAGTTCCCGTCCCTTCTGCCCAGCCCAGGTTGCATGAGTACAAACGCCCACGCCATGTTGGCAGCCTGGAGGGCTCGCTCCCCAAGCCTGGCCAAAAGGCAAAAGGCGGAAAATCAGCCGCGGGTGGTCCGGCGAAACCCACCGCTGCTTCAGCTCTGCCTCTCTCCCTCCCGGGTGGAGAGGCAGACTCGACCCTAAAAGCTTAAACCCACAGAGATCAACAGGTTCAAGAGAACATTCCCGATCCTCGGTTTCTATTGGTCGCTTAAAGCCTTTTCATGCACCCAGCAGCTCAGATGTTTAATAAAATATGCATTTTCTCTGCAGTTTTCACACACATCCGTTGTTACTTTCCTGTTCTCTTCCCTTTAAAAAATCAGAGCTCTGCAAGTGTGAACATTCAGCCACCCAACAGATATTAATAGCTACATCTTGGCCAAGGGATAGTGATCAGGGGAAACAGCCTATCAATTTAGGGCTCCCCCCCATCCTTCATCTTCTGCAACAGACACAGAGATTCGAACATTTAAACTACCTATTCTGAGTCAATATATATAGTCGACACTGTTTGCAGTTCTGCTTTAACTCGGATCTTAATCATAAGTATTAAAAATCATTTCCAAGCGAGTCAGTCTACAGAGAAATTAGTGTCTACCCTGAACTTGAACATCAACAATACCAGAAACTGTGTCCTTCCAGACTTCACACTCAAACTATGCCATCTGATGGGCTGAAGAACCCAGGGCCTGAAACTGTAAACCCACAATTGGGACACTGTGTTGGGGCCTTCCCCACGGTTATCTCACCACTTTCCAAATTTAGGAGGGCACCGTATGGGATCTATGAAGAGTCTGAGGGTCTCAGCTCAGCCTAGCAAACTAGCTGAGGTAATCTGAAGTATTGCACTAATTTCTAGTTCTCAGAGTTTGTTTTGTGGACATCTGTCCTTTGTCCAGGAATGAAGCAGATAACATTACAGTAAACACGAGAGGCCAATTAATAAGAAAACATTGCCACTGATAAAACTGTAGTGACATATAAACCAGAAAACGTACACTGGTGATTCTGCAAAGCGGGTGGTAAGGCTTTGTCTATGTCTTGTCATTCAGTGGAAGCCATCAAAGTTTTGGGGCATCAACGAGAAAAGTCTAAATTTCAAGTCGATTAATAAAACAAAAATTTAACAAAATTTATTTTGTCCCCAAATTTCCACTTAATGGCCTAAACAAGAACAGTCAGTGTTATAAACAACTTAATTGCTTGCTTAAATATGTGACTCTACGCATGTCACATATTTTCTTAATTGGAAAAATATGGCAGTACTCCACTTAGTGCAGCACCGAGTGCCAAATTAATTTTATTGTTGAGCTCCTTTCAATTGGTTCAGGACGCGCCACCATTTAGATAAAGCCATTTTCTAACTCTTCCCTGGTACCAAAGAACCACCCTCACTCCTTACACACACACACACACACACACACACACACACACACACACGACCAAAATGCTAGATGATTAGAAGCAGTAAAAGAATTGTGTAAATCTGGAAAAACATCATCCACTGTTCAGTCCCTGAATAGAAACATTAACGTCTCAGCCGGGAAACGCCACGAAGCCCAGCCCTTAGCCTGTCTTGCCTTCTCTCTGCCTTCCTACTTCAAAAGGAGTGGGAAGTTTGGGTCCCTAAGATCCAGCGATTCACGATGTTTTGTGGAGTTTGAAGTGTCTTAGGGGCAGCTCCAAATCCGGGGACGACCTCAGTCTGGGTCTGTTTGTCTGTCTCTCCCTGCTTCCCTCTTTCCCTTCCTACCTCCCTGAAGCTAGAGCAGAGGTTCGCAAACTGGAGGCTGGACGTTAGCCTTCATCTGGCCCCAGGTCCAGCCCCAGCCCAGCACGAATCCCCGGAGCCAGACCACGCGAACTTCCACGTCCGCCCTCCCGCCGGCGGTCCTAACTGAGGGCCCAAGACGCAGTCGGTGAAATCGCATTTCCGTGCAACCGGAGTCTGCGGCCAGGATGCGCACTGACCTCCCTCGCCTTCCCCCACACTAGGGCCCACGCGCGACCTTGCACCCCACTGGCTCTCTCCCCTCCACCGCCGCTCTACTCTGCAGAGCTGGGGTCCAGGCCCCTCTCCGCGGACGGCCCCCTCCCCGCTGGGCCTCGGGGTCCTCTCCCGCCCGGGAGGAGAGAAGGCGGGAAGGGGAACCGCGGCCGGACCGGGGTCGGACCGTTACCCTCGGTAAGCCGCGGGCTGCCGGGCTCTCTGCTCCTCTCCGCGGCGCCCATGTCCAGCTCCCGGCCGGGAGAGCGCCCTCCTCCAGCTCCTCCGCCTGCTCCTCCTCCTCCTGCACCTCCTCCGCCTCCTCCGCCTCCTCCGCCTCCGCCTCCTCCGCCGCCGCCTCCGCCGGCCGCCCGGACTGCGGGGCTGCTGCGGTCGTCTCGGCCCGGCTCGGCGCAGCCGCTCGGCTCCTTGGCCCCGCGCAGCGGCCCGCTCTCCAGCACCTCCCGGTACGTGATGGCCTCCTTCTTCTCCTTCACTTTCTGGTCAAAAGACTTGGAGACGAACGCCGTGAGTTCTTCCATCGCCGCCGCCGCCTCCGGTCAGCCCCGCGCTCAACCTCTCCCCGCTGAACCCCGCTCTTTTTTTCCTTCTTCGTTTTTTACTGCTCCAGCCCCCCCAATAACAACACATCAATGGGGCAGGGGTGGAGGGGGAGAGGGGGGAGGAGGAGGAGGAAGGAGAAGAAGGAGAAGGAGAGAAGAAAGAAGAAAGAGGAGGAGAAGGAGAAGAGAAGTAAGAAGAGCAGGAGCAGGAGGAGGAGGAGGAGGAGGACGGGGAAGGGGGGAGGAGGGGAGCAGGGCGGGGGCCGCGGAGGGAAGTGGGAGCCGGTGCTTCCCCGCCGGAGCGCGCCGGTTCCGTGTTAAGATCTTTGACAATTCTTCCTGCGGAGAGTTCAGATCTGATGGCCGCGCAGCGCTTGAAGTCTCACTATTTATACTTCCGAAAGGCGGCCCCCGTTCGCGGGGAATTACCTCCCCTCGCAACTCGGAGTGAGCCCCTTCCCGGGGAGCGGCCGCGCCACTACCTGGGGTGGGAGGGGAGGGGGAGCAGGGGGAGAGCGGAGCGGAGCAGAGCAGAGGGGGAGCCCGGGGAGACGCCGCCGAGGCAGGACGGCGGGGCGCAGGGGCGCGCGCGCAGGCTGGAGTCGGGGCGCGCGGGAGCGGGAGGGCAGGGGGGCCCGCGGGGCGGGGAGGGCTTTCAGGGAGCCCCGGCCGCCAGTGGCCTCGGTCATTAATCCAGGATTGACAAGAATCCCTAATTAATTTAATTAGCCGTGGGTTGTGCGTCGGTGTCACGACTTAGTTAAGCACTGGGGGTTTGGATGGAGTCCGCGGGGGCGGGGCCAGGAGGACGCGCACAAGTGCGGGCTCCCGAGGCGTCCCGGTCCCGTCCCATCCCCGAGCCCGCAGCCACAGCCTGCCCGTGTCCCGGCCGCGCTGCTGCCCGGCCACACCATGTTGAGCCCTGCTCTTTGCCCTGCACCGGGCACCAAGCAATGAACAGGCCCTGCACCTCCGTCCAGCCGCCCGACCCCGCGTCCCAAGCCTGCATCTCTGCCCTCCGCGACCCCCAGCTCCACCACGCAATGCCCTTCTGGCGTCCTGGGGCTCCCAAAGTCAGGATTCTCTGCGGTCTCCGACCAGGTCTCCTCTGGGAGAATCCTGGCCGGCATTCAGTCTGAGCCTGGGTGTGCACACTCCACGTCCAGGTCCACCACTCCACTACTCACGTCTCGAAGTCAAAATCCACTCCTGCGTGGACACATTCGACTTGAAGAGGCCGGTTGACTTAACACATTTCTTAAGCAGCTGTTCCCTGACAGATCCCATTTTAAAGTGTTTCCCTAGTGCCCGGTCAAGGACAGCTCCACTGCGTTCCCTCGTGGAGGTCTCTTGATGCTCTTCCCTTGTCCCTTTTTACTGTTTGCACTCAGATCACTCCCAAGATGCACCCGGAGCATTTCGTTAACTTCCCGGGAAACAGTCCAGTTGGTTTTCTAATTTTGAAAAACAAAAGATTATCCTTCTTCGAGTTTGAAAAAAGCAAACAGCGACGTTAAATTTTGTATCCCGTCAAATTATTTTTATCGTGTACCTGTCCAAAAAGAGATGCTGGAGGAGAGAAGGCTCTCCTCCTTCTTTCTAAAATACAATTTAAAATTTAAAAAATGATACTTCTGGGCTATTTTCATGGAAGTGGTTTGTTATAGGAGAGGAACATCTATATTCCCGACTCATTTGTCTACATTGTGCAAGCAGGTCTTGCTGTGACTATGTAAGTACCTCAAAATACAAAAATATTTACATATGCAAAGTTACATTTACTTGAGTGCATAAACAAATTTTTTAAGTGAGGCTTTAGAGACTTTCAAGTACAGTATACTGAATGTTAATGCCGTCTTTCTAATGTTAAACAACTTTGTTCCTTGTCTTGGATCCAAGAATAAAATAAAAGCAATTACAAAACATTAATATGTATAGCTTTTACAATTCATTAAAGGATTAAAACAAAGTCAGCAAATACTTTGAGAAGTTCTGTCAAAACAATCTCTAGCATTTATAAAAGGAGAACATGATTTTTCAAATACGCATACTTAAACATTATATAACTTTGTTACATTATAATATCCTGATTAAAATACTCCTATTTGGTGAATTTATGGAAGATGAAATCATGCTTTTTAGAAATGTTGCTTTGCTTTTTCTCTGAAATTAACTTGCCTTCTTAAACACTCTCTCTTTTGATATTTTTAGACAAATTATTAAGACTTCAGTAACAATAGTTTTTAGGAATTGATTATATGAGTACTTGCTTTTATTATTCCACAACACACTCAAATATCCAACTTTCCAAAGTTATGGAATTTAAAAACATGATTTCATATCGGGTTTTGATCTGCTTGCTATCTGTAAGCACTTTAATGCTGGTATTATCACAGGGGATTAACCATAAAACTTTAGTCTTTGTGAAATTCCATTTTTGAGATTACTTAGCAGAATGACCAGTCATAGATTTGACATTCCAATAGCTCACAAACTGAGATGTTAAATAAATATTCACATATTCAGTAACATATGTTAAAGTCTGATACAGGATCAGGAGACACTGCAGCTACTTCTTTGTTCTTTTAGGTACACATCTTTTAAGTCTCAACTTATATTCCATCTACTGAGTTTGACCACCTTAAGGGTAATCAGGGAAGTCTGAGATACGACTGTTGCATAATTCAGACCAATAGGTTTTCCTGTGATTTCAGTTTATTGGCTTATTTTACATTTATGGTGGTATTGCTATCAAATTGAGCTGTGAGAACTCTGCAGTGTCTGCTGATGGATTTTTAGTTGGCTAAAGGAATTTTTTCTTTTTAAAACAAGGTTTAAAACTTTATTCTAATAAATGCTATGATGTTCTACTGATGTGCTTAATGGCAAATATTTTTTAGAGATAACAGTTTAAAAAGCAGTTTTGAAACAAAATCATTGAGGACAAGGCTCAGCTGACAGTCTGTGGACAGATATACAGGTTCCAATAAAATTCAGGACCCCAAGGGTTCCCAGCTTTTGAATTATTTAAAATAAACATGTAATTTAGCATTTAAGTATTAAAACGGTTCCCTAGAATTGGCTTGTTACGATATTTATGAGAATATATATGGAGGTGATTTTCATCACTAAAATGTATATGGAAAACGATAGCTAAGTTATCTAGCAGTTATGAATGAACTGGTTTTCACAGTTGACCCAAACCAAAGCTAACAGCTTATGCATCTCCTTAGTAATTTTTTTAGAGTAGATGATTTTCATGCAAGGAAAAGTAATGTAGTCGCAGTATAAATTAAATTGTTTTAGTTTCTATTGGTTAAAGTTAAAAAAGCAAGCCCTACACATTTGATTTCTCTCCCAAAAGAAACTTCCTCGTCCCGTATCGGGCTGTTATTCCTCTATCAACTAGTTACTTTAATGTGAGAAACTAATTGGCACCCAATTTGTGAGAGCCTTCACTTTCAGGACAGACGGAACACCAATTTTCAATGCATTTTTTGCAAATAAATTATTAGTTTAACCACCTACGACCCTATACAGACACATTTCCGTGATTTATTATTGTTGGGCGAGTTTCTCCCTCCCCCAGTGTGAGATATCCAATTTTGCTAAATGTGGGTGTCTTATACTTTGTATAATGCAGATTTGTTTACTGATTATCTGTGACGATAACGGAGATTACTAGAGCGGTGAAACCCTCTATTCCATCTTTATTGCTTTTTGGGAACAAGAAAATCCAATTATGCAAACACACACGCACACGCACACACAACCCACTAAACAAAAAACTGGCGGTGTGACAATCTACTCCCTCGGCATTCCCAAGCCTGGCAGCCCGCATCGATACACTCGACAACTCGGCTGACCCTGCCTAGCGCTGGAACCAGGAAGGCGCTGAGCTTAAACTGAAGCAAGTTCGGAGGCCGCTGGTCTGCAAAAACGTTTCCAGGTCTGCGACGCTTGCACATTAGCCGGAGGTGCGAGCCCGAAGGTCAGGACCCAGGTGATGCCGGCATCCAGAGCCTGGGGGGCGGCGCCGCGGCTGCGGGGTTGCGAGGCCCTGCTCCTGCGTGGGACGCCGTGGGGCCTGGCGCAGCCTGCGGCTGGGAGCGGGCCGTAGGCCGAGCACCGCGTGCGCCCCGCGGAGCGATACTGCGCGTGCGCCGCACCCGGAGAGGGCCGGACTCTGGGTCCAGGATGGGGGTGATACGCGTTGGGGAGAACCTTAGTGGGTGAGCGGCCGCGGGCTTCTAGGCCAGTCTGTCTGCACAGGGTGGGAAGTTAGCTGGCTGCTTCCTCATTTCCCCAGTCCATAGTCCTTGATCGTTGCTTTTCCGTTTCCTAGTTCATTCCTGCTACTAACCTGGCCCTTACTCACAGTGTCCAGGTAAATGGAGAAAGACGGAAGCTGTGTCTTAGTGCATTTCACTCACCCAGTCTCCTCTCTCCCTTAGATCCACTTCCTTTGCAGTTCTGCTATCATTTCCCACCTCACACAGGTGGTACAGGGTGAAATTCACCGTCTTGTTTTGAAACACAGATATTCAATACTTGCCTTAAACTTTATACTGTCCCTTGACTTCTGAGGTTTGGCCATATAATCCCGAGCAAATGGTTATCCTGAACTCTTGACTTCTGTGAGAAGATATAATCATCATAAATTACATTAGGATAATCTTAAGTCCTCCCTCAGAGATTGTATTTGTAAATATACACTGGTAATTTAAAACAACACTTTTTAAAAAATTCTAGAATTAGGCCTCCAAATTGTGTTTTAGCTGGCTAAGTAGGAGGAGGTTAAATAAATTCACAGGAAAACAGGCAAGTTGTCATCTTTGAGTCCAGATGTAAAAGCTGTAAGTAAGGGAAATATACCGAGTTCTCAGGTTTAAGGATTGTGGCAGATGTGTTTGAGAGCCTTTAAGGTCTTATCGATACTTACTTTGCAGACGAAGGCAATTTCTTGCTAAGTGGTAGTATTGAATTGTTCAGCAAGAAGGATGAAGCCCTGCATGGTGACACATGCCTGTAATTCCAACACTATGGATGGTGGAGGCAGGAGTATCACAATTTCGAGACCAGCCCGGGCAACTTGAAGAGACCCTGTTT